TTTATCGGGGGAAGCGACAGTTCGGTTGTTCTACACTTGGAAAGCTTGTTTAAAGCATTCGATTAAAATATGAGACAGTCCTTATATGTAAGTATGTATGTATAAAGTACTCGAATGTTTGGGCACAGCATGTGCGTGATAAAACCACAAAGCAGAATCGCACAGCTCAGCAAGCTAACTTTTCAAGCCTTTTCACTCCAAGTCCCACTCCCAACAGACCACCACTACCACCGCCAGCAGTTTTTCCCACAAGCCACTCTACCCTTCAAGTTCGGCACGTGCGAAATAAATGCGCAAAGCATTGGAGGCAAACAAAAGTGGAATTGATTGCGTGCCAGACAACGACAACGCCAAGGAAATGAGCCAAAAACAAATGCACAAAAGGCATAAGCCACAAATACACAGTTCCCACCTACTTTAGGGGTGTGTCCCTACGCCCGTCCCCTTCTCGCCCAGGGCATAGGCGCTTTGTTGTTTTGTAATTAAAATGATGGCAGCCAGCGACTTTTAATAAACTTGCAAAATAAATACAGAGAAAAGCAAAAACAAAAATCACAACAAGAAAAAAGGTAAATTAAATTTGGCGCAAACAAAAGTACCAAAAAAACAAAACTGTAAAGCTATAAGCTGATTGTCAACAGACAACTTGACTACCGTTACATGTTAATGGCACCCAGAGCTGTGGGTCAGTGGCAATAAAGGGACTATACAGTTGACAATGCTGGCAAAAAACACAAATGCAATTTTGATTTTATGCCGAATTTAGGCAGCTTCTCAGTAAAATGTTGAATAGAATTCTTCTTACATTTAAATTAGTCTAAAATGATTTTCAAATTTTATTTCAAAAAATACAAAAGCAAGCAATTCCGTCAGTACTATATCGTTTCAATAACATATAGCAGCATATTTTTAAGAGACAGAGCAATGTAGCTATTTTGTTTGTAAATTTTTATTTGGACAACTACAAAAGGAAAATACGTATTTCATCTAAGTGTAGTTGCATAACTATTACAAACAAAAATAGTTGAAGCATACTTGTAGTTTCAATTTTGTTTTGAACATTCTATTGGCCTGTTGAAGGTTGTGCGCTCGAATCGAAATTTAAAACAGAAAACTTCAGCTGTAAAATAGGATAGAGAGGTATTGAAATATACAAAATTTAAATTAATTGTCTGTCTCTATAAGCATTGGGTTACGCAAGAGGGTTACTCTTTACACATATTTTGCAGAACAATTTTAATATATAGTCGTAGAACTATTGATTTAGTATTAATAGATTTGATTAGTATTCATTACTTGTTTTTTAGAAATTATTTTAAAAGTAAGAAACATAGTCATTTTATTCGACAAAACTAAACCTAAACTATTATTAAATTTCGTGCCAGACTTATGATCAAGATCTATAATCAAGAGATACAGACAACGCGGGTTGCTGTGTGACACTGAAAAACTGAACAGCACTTTACTGAATTTCAGGATAATATACTTGTAGTAAGCGCTTAATTTTCATTTGATATTTAATTTACACTTTAAATGTCGCCCTATAAAGTATTTTACCATCAGACTTGAAAAAATAAATGCAATAAAAATGCACATAGATTGCAAAAAATGGTCAGTTTAAATTTTAAAGAAAAATAAAATAAATATGCAAAAGGTAAGTTATTAAGAAAAACTTTAATGCAAATATATCCTTTGGGAAGCCGGCTATTATCGGCTTGCATGTTGATTATTGTTTGTTTCATTTGAGTAATGCTCTCTGTATGTTTAATGAAAAAGGATAATGGAGAAGGGAATCGGAAGGAGGCGGACACATCCTCCTGCATATATAAATAAATTTAAGTAATTTTCCATTGCAAAGTGAGAATAAATCTCAAACGGCGTGTTGCGCTTGCAAACAAAGACCTACAAAAACAACAAGAGTGATTATAGCAGCAACAACAATTATTTGCAGACAAGCAGCTGCTCGGAGTAAAGTGAAAAGCGGGAAAGAAGGGAAAAGCCAGCAGCGTAATTTTTCTTTATATTTATTTGGCGTGAAAAGCAAACTGTTTACATTTGTTTTACTTCACTTGACTAACGGCAACGAGGTGCTTGTATCAACCTACAGGCAACATGTTCATTATGTCTTGCTGCTGTGGCAGTAGCGATGTGAGAAGGGGGAAGGAAGCATCACCTTATCTCTGAGGCTCTTCAGGTGTAGCTCATTAAATCATTTGGTAATCACGGGCGCGCAAAGCTCGGTTAACCTTTAAGCGGGCATAAGCTTTTTGTATTGTTATTGTTATTGCAAACATACCCCCTATCTGCATCCCCACTGATTCTCTATAAAAGCAAGTCCCACGCAAACATCTGTCGATTCAAAAGTGTCAATCACAGTCGACTTAATTAACATTTCAACTTGGCGCCGGGTGCGCGAAAATTAATGACTTGAGTTATTGTTAGAAGTTGAGTGTTTTGGTTTATTTTGTTTTTGTTTTTGTGCTCCCAACAGCAAGCTCCAAAAATATATACACAAGCATAAATTCAAATAAACAAACATGAGCATAATCAGTCTGCCAAGTTTACGCCATAAAATTATTTTGAAGCGCGAGTTTGTTTGTTTTTCAAAGCCGATGTTGTGATTTGTGTATTGTGGGCGACCCGTACATAAACATTTTGCACTCAATACTAAATATGCACAAATTCTCGTTTAAAATATATACAGAAGTGAGTGTGTGCATGTGATTTCGGGTTTAGCGTTTCGTTCATGATTTATGGATGTAGTTTTGCAGTTTTATGCTCTGGCACTCAACATGTTTTTTATAGAGCCCTCCCGTCCATTTTTGCTGCTCGCCTTGAGCACTTTCCGGCACAGCGTTCAATGACCATAAATTCTCATCAATAAATCAAATGATAAGCATGGTTGTTTTGGTCAATAATTGCGTTGTGCGTTAGTCTGAAAATTTGGTAAAACATGTAAAGTGCAGTGCTGAGTTGTATGCTACACTTTTTGAATGGCATTTTTGTGATTTCTGTGTGATTGGAGGTGTGTGTGTGTGAGTGAGTGTTGTTTTGATGTATTCACAATGCACTATAGTGCAGGTAATTGAGATATTTGCCAAGTGACGTGTTATGCTTCGCATAAATAATAATGTGCGGGTGTGTGTTTGTGTTTGCTGGTCGGTTTTGTATTGATCCTGCGTGTTTCCCCTTGCAGTTCAATCAATTAGTTTGTGTTCAACGAACCAAAATCGAGTTGTGGCCAATGCTGCAATGTCGAAATTTGGCAATAAATTTCATGTTGTGGCTTACGGGCATTAATTGATTACAGAAAATGTACAAAGACAGTTAGCAATAAATATCAGCATCATCGAGCCTTAAGATTGCCACACTTGGATAAATTGGTTTGATGGAATAGAGAATACAAATAGCTGTGATGGCATGCTCTAAAACGTCGTTTGAAAATCTCAAATTGCATTCAACGTTGATAAACAAATATAAGTAATTATTGTAATTGTCATTATTTAATGCGCTTTTCGCAATTAGGATGCTTTCAGCGATTGTCGAAATAATAAATCTCGCTTACAAATGCTGACTTATTGTGTGATTATAATATTATTATAAATAAAAAGATTTCACTAGTTAAGGATATGTGTAATTTTAAGCAAAAAAAACGAAAAATTCCAAATGTTTTAATATACAAAATTGTTGTTAAAATGATTAAATTATATGCATGTACATTAAATCCAAAAAACCAAAAAAATTTTATATCAATAAGAGATGAGATTTTAAAAAAATTTAAAAGAGGCGACGAACATTGACTAAACAAATATATTGAATATATTTATTTTAAAATTATGAACAAATTAATAAATCAATAAAGCAACAGTATGAAATATCGCAGTCAAATAAATCAAACAGAAAACTGAATAGCATTCAATCGAGCTAACAAGTGCAAATTGACGACGAGAGAATAATAAAGTTCCAATGGAAGCTAATTTGAATATTGAATTTATAGGCAAAATAAAAAAAAAACAAAAAATATATTCCGACAACAAATTAGCGTTGCAATTAATAACATTTCAATTGAAAGAGCTTTATATGTAATCGATGAGAACTGTGATTTTATAGAATAAGTCAAAAATTGCAAATTTTTAACCAATAATTGTTTGAAATCATTATACTTTTGTGTAATGTATATCATTATCAATATTCATATCAATTATATTTCGTATTTGAATGAACAAGTTTTGAAACCAAATTTGGTGCAAATGTGAATTTTCCCAAAAGTTATTCGCAACATTTTCACTTTCTCAATTTTTGAGGTAATTTTAAAGCAATACCACAACAGCTGTATGTGAATGTGAAGCCAAATGTCACAACCAAAAGCTTAATAACTAATTAGAAGCTCTTTTGTGTAGGGATCTTAGACCTAATCACGTGGTAGTTATTCAGTAAGTCGACTTAAGCTAACAGCTTTAAACGCATTAACCTACGCACTCACTAACACACAGATGCATCCTTACACGCACACTCTTACACGTACCACACAGTTAAATAGGGAGAGGAGAGAGGGGGAGAGAGTGCTGGACACTCAGACAGTTGATTGCTTATGCTAAACACGCAGTTGCCCGGCGCTGATAATACTTACAGGTCTTGTATTTGCTTTTGTTTTTTGGTAAATGTTTCTTTTTTGGGGTTTTCTTTTTGCATCGATTAAAGCGCCGCCCACTCTTCAGTTGAAGTGTACGCTTTCCATTTTGTTCAAAATGTTGTCTAGGAACCCAAATGACTTAAACCAGCTCTGTTTCCATTTGTGTGGCCTCCACAGTCTCCACAATGGTGGTTGTGGCCACAGTAACCGAATCTCATGGAACATACTTGCTTGTCAATGTGGCCGCATCCGCACCATCATCATCCTCGAGGCGGCTGTCGGCACTGAAGCTGACGCAAGGACAACAGCAACCGCAGCAGGCGCACGCTTGACACAACCATGTCGTAGACTTGCCGCAGCGTTTTGGTCAAATCGCAGACACTTGCTCCAGTTCGGCGCTCGAGCGTCCCGAATTCATGACAACCACATTTTTGGCGGCATAGTCCGTGATGAAACGATCACTGTTGCGTGGATGAATGTTGCCCACATCCTGGGCACAACACCATGGATTGCGCATGGTGAGGATGCGTTTGAAGGCGTCTCGAAACTCCTTGTTGAAAATCGAATAGATGATGGGATTGAAAGCCGAGTTCGAATAGCCGAGCCAGGTGAGTATCTTGAAGGTCTGGCCACCAATGCAGGTCTTGCAGAACGCGGCTGTTATGTTCACACAGAAAAAGGGAACCCAGCAGATGAGAAAGACGCCCATGATGACGCCTACAGTGACCGCTGCCTTGTGATCAGACACATGATATGGTGAGCTGTGATGCAAGTTGCGCACCTTGAACTTTTTCGGCTGATTCTTGGGACGTCGTATGCTCTTGTAGCGTTGCTTCTCGGCCACCTCGCCAGGTCGTGTGACAGCCTTAATCGATTTCACATGCTTTTGCGCGTAGCAGTAGAGCCTGTAAGATATAAAATAAGAAAAAAGTGGCAATTAGTGCACAAGTATTAGCTATTATTAATGCACTATATATTTTATATTTTAACGAATTTTATGTTAAGCTTATAAATATGCTAAAATGTGTGAAATAACTACAGCAGAGGCCATATCTAAATATCTAAAAGGCCTTTTATTTGGAGATACTATCACAAGCAGATTTTTCTCCCATCATCTGCGCTTTTCCGCTTTTCTGTTTTAGACGAAAAGGTTAAATCATATCCTTCCTTTGTTCTTATTTATTTAATTTTTATTATATTTCGTGTTACACAATGTAATTGCTATCTGCTTGTGGGCTGAAGAATCTGTTGTAGATGGGTGTAGCTCAAGCTTATGTAATTGATACGAAAATTATTTACTTGTGCTTTTTGTTAGGCAATTAAGCAGACGCCTTGAAGTGGCTAGCGGCATTGGTTTCATCTTGACTGAAGCACGTATACCCTACACAACTGCCAGCCACTTTACGCTTCGCATTTGCAATAATTGCTCAAGTGCTCAAGTGCTTGCCTCCCAGTTGTCACATAAAAAGAACACACAACGGTGCGTATGCTTGATGCCTTTTCCTATATACTCAGGGACGTCAATAGCATGCCAATACTCACACATACACACTTGTACGAGCACTAACAAAGTTGAACGAAAAGGATAACATGGCATGCACAAATTATAACGATAAAAGCATATTTATTCTGTAATTTAACCGAAATTTGATAGAAAATTCCAATGACAACAACTCAACAAGAAGCCGTGCTGATCCGGTTGTGCAGATATATGACTATACTATGTAGCTTGAGGTTGGGGAATGTTGGAGCTGTTGTGCGTGTACGTGAGTGTGTTTTAGTGTCCCTGTATATGCCTGTATATGTGAGGGTGTACGTGTGTCTGTGTGTGTTTGTGTCTGGTAGCTGCTTGAGCAACTCGTGCTCATTTGTTACGTTCGCCCATTTGCCTCAAATCTCGTTAAGCTGAAATGGCAACGTGCAGAGGCGCCCAGCGGCAGAGACGCCAGTGTCGACTGCGCAGTTGCCGCAATGTAATCGCGCGTTGATGAGCAGCCATATCGCCCAGTCTAACCCCCGTCTGCCCGTCTGCCCGCCTGCCCGCAAGCCCGCCGGCCTTGGCCGCTGACGCTGCACACTGGTCCAAATGGCCATTTTGGCATTATACAAGTATGACTAAAAATTTGTACATTTATTGAGAGCCGATAAATTATGTATGATTCACTTATTTGCTAATCCCAGTTTTCTGTTGGCCTCAATATTTACACTGCATATGTTTTAAGCAGAGCTTTTGCAATTTTGTGGAGCTTTTAGAAATATTTATAAATGAAAGAATGGGATAATAAATCTTGAAGTCAACTGAAAGGCAATGAAAACCAAAATGAGTTGTAATTAATACTTCATTTGCAATCGATTACCCTGGCTATTAATATATTAGGTCCAGATTTATTGTATGGTTTCGACCACTGTTCGCTGGTCATATTGTCTAGCCTTTTGCCATTTGCAATGTTGTCAGACGCTCCTCACACGCCCCACTGTTTCCGCTCCTGTTGCCGCTCTGTGGGTCAGCTTGGGGATTACTTAGTTGACACTAATGCGTGCGCTTATTTGCTTACCCCAAGAGCAACAACAACAGTAGGGAGGCCAACTGCCTACTCAACCCACTCTCTCTCCTTCGAATTTCTTCCTGAGCTATCGTGCTGTTGCGCCATCGACGCTTGAAGTCCTTGCGGCGTTTGATGAATTCCTTGTTGGTGGTTTGCATTGCGAACGGGATAGTCGTAGTTTTTACTACTTTTTATTTACTTTTTACTACTTGGCTCACCGCATTTCCGCGCCTTTCGTGTGCGGCTTTCAGCTCAGCTTTTTATGTGAGCACATAAAAATATTTGCCTTGTTTTTTTCGGGTTTTATTTGCGCCTTCTCCATATTTCAACGCCGACACGACCCCAACAGAAAATTCAGTTTTCTTACGATGGCAAGGAGTTGCGCAACTTTTGGCGGCTTAGTTTCGGATGTTTTCCCCTCGCCAGCTCTTTGCTTCATAACATTTTCGTTGGATTCGTAGCGTAGGGCAGGAATACAATACTTGTTTGTATCTTGGATTCTTTGTATCTAATTGCAGCCCAAGGCGTCTGAAATTGTGGCCCAGACAGCAGCTGAAAATTAGTTTTTTATGTGGCTATGTGATTGTCTTTGTAGATATGTATCTGCCTGTTAGTGTGTGAGTCTTTGCAGATATTCTTATGCATTTCATGTATTATTCAGGCCAAGACAAAGCAGCATTGTTAAAATTGCCAGCCTGCAATCGCAAAATTTAATGAGTCATAGACAGTGGGTTTCCTACGAAATCCAATGCGGATGGGCCTTATTTCTAAATGTTGTTCCATATCAGTAAGAATGCGTACTTGTCCAAAAAAAGAAATCATAATATTTTGATTGCTTGTATTTTTTCAACTTTGAAATAAATAGGATTGAAATTTCGCAGACGTCAGGGTCTTCTTGAATTATTTAATTCGCGGATGCCAATAAACCAAGAAATAATTATTATAATTCTAACGTGAAATGGAATGAAAAAAACATGCTCTATTGATACAAAAAATATCATTACTGTCAGACAAATGGATGATTTCAATATTTTATGAATAGTTACATTTTTAAGACTGTGCGATTGAAGAATATTTTTTGTTTTAATTTATTTTGTACACAGAACATCACAATTAAAAAGGAATATAACAATTCAAATCTCCCCTACTAGGTACACTAAGTTATGGAAGGAGTCGATGCGAGAGGAGTGCCAATTTATTGATTATATACACCACATCCGCCATAGACTATAAAGTCTTATATTCGCATTTTTATGATTTATCTTTTTTCTTGGTATTCAAATAAGAGTTCGAAAAAAATAAACTTTAGTTTGATTTTCTTTCCTCTTATCTGCTATTTTTAATTCATTTAAGTTCTTAACATATTACGAAGTTTTGAGGAAAGCCACTGGTAACAGAATTAAAAATATTTACCAATTTTATATTTTTTGAATGATAATCAAGACAGACCACAATGGAGTTATTAATTATGTGACACAATATTGTGAGCTCGTCAAGTTTTTATAAAGCAGCAACGTAATGATATGCTATATGTTGAAAATTATATAGCAAATAGTTTGTACCTATCGCATATGAACATTTCTTAATGGATTAATAAACATTCGAAATGAAAGCTGAAGATGCCATAAAAAGTTACGTGCAAATAAAATCAGACAGTTGTTACCGCAAAATAGGAAATTGGAAAAGAACATAAAAATAATAATTCTATTAAGATAATAATAATACGATATTGGAAATAATCGCCTAATGAGCAATGCAAGAAATGGAGTGCCTTTGGCAGTTGACTAAATGTTTTCGGTTTAGGGCTTTTTTGTTCAAAAATTCCAAATATAGTAATATAGTGTAACAAAAAGGACCTTAAATATTTAAAAATGGACCTGCTGTTCAACTCCATGGTAAGAAATAGTCGTACGAGTATGTATGGGAAGCTTACTCACCGACAGTAGATGCCAATCATGACCACACATGGAAAGTAGAAACTGATACAGCTGGAGACGACGGCATATGTGGGTGTCAGATCCAGCGCACATGTAGGATACTTTTTGCCATTATCCTCGAAAATAAGAGGCTGGTCGGGTCGATGAATGCCCAGCGAGATTGGCACAAACGAGACGAAGGCGGCCAGAAGCCAGATGGCGGCTATGGTGATGACAGCGACCCGTCGTGTGACCCAACGGCCGTATCTGAAAGAAAAACAAAAATTGGATTGCATGGCAATGAGTGCAAAACAGTAATAGACAACGAGAAATAGTAATAGAGAGATGGCGTTGAGTGCTTAGGCCTGTTGCTGCAGGCTGCAGGCTGCAGCAGCGGAAATGGAAACACACGACAGTCTGCAGACGATTGCCTTTGCGGTTTCCGGCAAAGGGTAAGCTGAACAACAACGACAACAACAACAATCGAGCATGTTACGATTGCGGCTTTACATGTAGAAGGCGGCAGCTGCAGCATTTGAGGACATCATTTTTGGGTGTGTCTGACAAGTGTGCCCCCAAAAGGGACAAACACGAAACAGCCCTCACTTACCCATTTAGGCCATCAGTGTTAATGGGTGTTGATGTTGCCTCTGCTAAGCTACTTGGCCAATTAACGTGTCGTCAGCCGCGCTGCTGGCGAGGTGTTGACCAGCATATACTACCGCATTTGTCCCTGCATGTCATTAATTAAAGAAACGACGAACGAACTCGACGAAAACAAATCAGCACGACCTAGGGCTAACCGCAGCATTCAATTTTAAAACACACACACACACACACATATATATATGTATGCAAATGAAGGTCGAGTCTTCCTTTTTATGTTTTAGTTTCCATCATAGTCCAAAATCGATGGAACCAAAAGCACTTCGATTTCGACTGTGGCTAAAATTGCGTTTCGTTCGGTTTGGTTTGGCTTGGCACTTGTGTGCAACGGAAATGAGCAGGCAAAATCTAAGGCCGATGGCATTTTAGCCCCTTTACCCATGTATGGTATATGTATGTGGGTGTGTTTATATATATACTCGTATGTGCCATTTTTGGCAGAGAACATGTTAGCGCTGGCAAGAAGCGCGGGTTGGTTTGGCAGTTCGACGCATGGTTGGTTCAGACATTGGCGGGAAATCAAACAGAATAATTCAATTTCAATACAAAAAGACGCACACACATACACACACACAGCTGAGACACACTCAGTGGCACTCAGTCTGCACATGTTTCGAAAATGAACCAGACGACAAAACGCAAAACGGAAACGGAAGTTTATGTAATTGTATTCGCACACAAATTCAATTTCGTTTCACACGAAATTGATTTCCATGCACACATACACAAATACAAAGACATGCACACACACACACACACGCACACACACACAGACACACTGACAGATGCCAAGTTGTTGAAAGGGACCCGCAGGGTGCAGTTTTTAGCTTAAGCTGCCTCAAAGCATAACCAACTGTCACCTGTGGTCGTCTGCCTGCAATTGTGAGCTGAAACAGTCTTCCTATTAGTCCTTTGTTAGCGTGCACCCAGAAGTTTTGCGGGCAACCGCTTCAACAGCTGCTGCAGTATAATCGGCTTGGTCTTTTCCCCCTGAACTCGATTGCTTCATCTAAGAGATATTAATTCCAATCGGAGTATCCATATGAATAAGTAAGCTGTCACAGAATGCTTAGGAGGAAACGCGCATTTGTGGAATCATACGACTTTAGCACTTCAGGCATTGTTGAAATGTTGAGAATATTATTAGGTACTATTTTTCATTTAAATTTATAGACAGACATATATGTAGTTGATTAGCAGAATAAGGAGCTACTTATGTATGTGATGATAATGATGGGTTTTATCCAAAAAATCAATTTTACTTCGATTGTATATTTTCTATTGGTGTGTGGCTATCATCGGGAGGGAGCTAGCAACTAACACAGCCCAAAGGATAAAAGACAACATTACAGGAACTAAGGGATATGCAAGCATACTCCCTCTCCGAATACTTTCAAATAGTAGTAGGATTTCTTTACATGCGACTTTTCACCCAGTCTGTTATCCGAAAAGAAGCTTGTTTATAGAGATGTCTGCCATCAGGCGACATTACTCTTGCTGTCATACTTAGAGTGGCAATGTACTCGTATTACCCCCTTCACCCATTCCCCCGCTGAATCACTGTCTGAGCATTGCTTAGCTGTTGCCCGCACTCTCTGAGCCTTTTGTTAGGCTTTCGTGCGAGGCTTTTGTGCGAGGTCGAGTGTGAGGGCGAGTGTGAGTGCGTGGGCTTTAAGTGTTTTGGCACGTCAAGCGCAACGCAGAAGCCAAGGGAACAGTCGGCTGCACAAACACCTGCACCTGTGTGGGCACAATCAAAATGATACGTCGACTCATCCGCTGCCAATATGGTCCTCGAGCCTGGCACTGCTCAGGAATCGGCGCCGACTTGCGTGCGAATGGCTCTGATATATGCGCATAAAGCAGTGCCATTGAGTGGCATCGAACGCCAGGAGGAACCAATCAAGCAATGTTGGCTAATTGAAATTGTGTGTATGTGTTTGTGTGTGTGTGTGTGTGCTTCTGTGTCTCTTTATCCTGCAGTAATACATAGTAGTGTGCCAGGCACAGCTAGTGCCAGTTCTTTCCCAACTGTGCATAATTCTGTGGCCAAGTGTGTCGCATATTTACATTTATTCTTTACCTCCCATGTACCCATGGTATATATCTATGTATATGTGTGTGTGTGTGTATAGCTTACACGCACTCAAGAAATTACAGTGTGGCACGCGGGCCGCCTTATGCGGCCCTGTGTGTGTGTGTGTGTGCATGTGTAGGAGTGTGCGGCATGTGCATAGTTTTTATTTGCTTGCATGCCAACATTTATTACTTTTTATGAGCGCTTTGTAGTGCGCAAAATGTTGCCGTTTCGTACACAAATGTCACATACTGTGAGAGCATCGTTGCCGTTGTCACTGCTATTGAAAATGATGCACTCAAGTGGCAAACTATACGCCCTTTCTTCTACTAAGCACACACACGATTATACAGGGAAATAACCTATACACAGAGAAAAACAAAGCAAAGTGTGTATATCGATCCGACCATGCAACCACTGTCAACCGACTCTTTAATCCCTTTTCAAGTCGACGTGGGATTAATGTGGACATAAAAGGCAAACTTTTAAAAAATGCATGACACCGAATATAAAAGTTAGTTAGACATTTTAAATTTGTTGAATTTTTATAACAAACTAAAATAAATATATATAGGTTTTCAAATACAAATCAGCTCAGCATGCCTATTTTGTATATATTTTAAAGTTTTTTTTTAACCTGCGATTATTTCCATACCAGATTAGAGCTGCTAGTAGTTAGTATATGCTGCTGCCACTTTATTTCCCACATTCCACAATTTCAATATGGCAGAAAGACATTCTTTCTGGGCTCACGTCTTTTACTTGTTATTCAAACTTGACTTTTTGAATGTTTGTTGCATTTAGTTTCAATTTTAATTCACCACAAAACTTGGTTTTTGATTTAAAGTGAATTTAATTTTGCTTAAAGAATTGACATTAAAACGCATCATCACGACAAATTTATAAGCAGTTCATTTGATAATGTGTAAAGCAACATTTATATATAACAGAAATATAATCCGCTCTAATGAAAAAATATCCCAATTTGGGAGTTTGCGGTGAAAATAAAATCTCATTTTAATAAATTAGACTTGCTCAAAGCAAAGATACGCAGGACCCCTTTAAAAAATGCATGCAATATCGAGGTGGTTTTACCATAATTATGTTTAGAAGTAACAGTAGACGTAACATAATTAATACAAAATACCATTTAAGTCACAATTTCATTCTGCATATGACTTGAGAATGTTCAAGCCTTCTTTTTAAGTACATTTGAGCTTGTTTTGCCAATTAATGCCGATACGTTTTTTGTAAAAGAATTCTAAGAAGAGCTGGATATTTAAGCTCTTTATACGAAATTAAACATACTTATTGGATTTTCGTTGAGCAGACACATTTCCTTGCAGTGTAGAGGAGGCAGCACTTGGAGACAGTTGGCAAACACAATTACAAAATGTTCCCTTGTGCGCCATTGTCGGTTTTTGTCGCGTGTTTTATTGCGCTTAAGTGTTTTGTCTCGCACTCGCTAACATTGCCTTACTCTCTCTGTCTCTCTCCCTCTCTTCTCCACACAAACACACAACGAGCTCTCCTGAGCACTACGAAACTTTGGGCTTAGTACTATACTTACGCCTTTTTATTGCAGTTTGAAATTAATTTTATACTCGCCTGCAAATATGCCACACATATGTGTCTGACAGTAGAGACCATAATTATGATGATGATGGTGATGATGATGATGAGGTTGGAGAGGAGCACATGCCCCTAGGCTGCAACTTGTCACATAAACCAATTTTTTAATGCCATCGTTTTAACTTTGTCTCCGGCTGTTGGCAGCATTTTCTAATTAAATTTGCAGGCGCTTTTCAAAAATTGTTTTCCGTTTATTTTATTTTGCTTTATTTTTTCGGCACCAATTTTGCAGCAAAGCTCATTATAAAAGACCAAATGGCGCAACGGCTGCTGCCAAGACTCAAATCTTGCCGAGCACAATTAAATTAAACGCCTGCAATTATTCTAAGGCGCTACAAAAATACACAAATTCAGCAGTTCGCTCCATTCCCAGCGTGGTCGAGCCGAGGCTCACAGGAGTGTAGGGTGGGATCTGGCTGCTTGTCTGCCCTAATGAGATCTAAGCGCTGGCTGCGTGAACTTTGACGCTGCGTGCAAAAAGAAAATGTGCCGTTCCATTGCTTTGACATGCAAATAAATCAGATTTGCATACAACGAAACGGGTCCGTCAGAACCAAAGTTGGCCAAGAGACAACTGCCTAGACACAAAAGACAGGTGAGCTATGAGCTTCGCTGCTGCCGAGTCATGGGCGTTCATCTACTCATACATCCTAACAGTGTTTTCAAGCGTCGACTTGACATTTGAAGTACCCCCATGTCTCAACTCTCGAGACGACTGTTGGAGACGCGGCAGCAGCAGCAGCAGGTTAGGCAAACAGTATTGGATGACTGGCATGCCTAATGGGCGGCAATGGCACCCAGTCCTGTTCTGTGTAGGACTGTGGCTTCAAAACCCAGTACATGTTTCCGTTCCCGACATCGAGTGGTGTGTGCTCTGCACTGAAAATTGAAATGAATACAGTGGCATAATTCAATTTGAAAGTATTCCCGGTTTCTGTGATATGGACAGCTTTAAAGCTTCGTCGATTTGTGCTATGAGCGCCTAGAAGCAGGCAAGCAAATTTATGGTCCAATACAGCTATTCTGATTATGCCCTAGAGCTTAGCTTAATGCGTCTGAAAACCTACAGTAGGCAAAAAATAATTTGCATTTTACTTTGCGCAAATAAGTGTTGTACAAATTGGTTCTTTTAGTTGTTAACATCTTTAACAATGTTACTAAATTAGTGAGCAACAAGAATTGGATTGATAAAGTGAAATATAAAAGTATATATATGCAACTAAACACAAATTTGTTGTTCTAGGCATTAAGCGGATTATTACCATTACTTTGGAAATTAAAAGCATTTATATTTTTCCAAAAATCAAGTAATTGTTTTGCAGAAGTAAAACCTACAATGTTGTAGTTGGAGCGATTTTCCAAAAGTTGAAAAGTCTTTTTATTTATATTTTTAAAGCAACTAAAAAGTTTTCAGATTGGTTCAAATGTTCTGGTATATTCAACAGATGAGCGACCTAGAGTTGAATTGTAACTGTCTCGATTGTCGAATGATTAAGACTTACTTTTGCTTCTCCTATATAATCGTAACTCAGCGGCAGAAGTTTGTTTGGGTACAGGGTATTTCACAGTCGGTAATGCTCGACTGTAGCATTCCTACTTATTAAAATTTGGAATTTTCTTGTTCAGACACCGAAATAAATGTTGTGATTATACCTAATAAATATTACTGTAAAACACATATAAATATCTTAATTTATGCTTAAGCTATTAGAGTTTAATGTACATTTAATTCACTGTAAGAGAGAGAGAGAGAGAGTCCCATTTTTATACCCTGTACCCGTAGGGTAAAAAGGGTATATTAGGTTTGTGCAAAGTATGTAACATGCAGAAGGAAGCATCTCCGACCCCATAATGTATATATATTCTGAATCAGCATGACGAGAGAAATCGATCTAGACATGTCCGTCCGTCCGTCTGTCCGTCCGTCCTTCTGGATGAACGCAAGGATCTCAGAAACTATAAAAGCTAGAATAAGCAAAGTGGGAATACAGATTCTCCGAGGTCCGAGAAAGGACAAGTTTATTTTATTTTTTTTAATTTTCGAATTTCGCTACAGAATTTCGTCAAATGCTACCTAAACCAAACTTTGCACACATAATTTATATATAATTATCTACTGTTGTTTAATCCAATTCGGTCAATTCCAAAAAAAGTTATTATCGAAACAAATGCTCGCCACTACAACCCCCACAAACTGCAGCAACAAGTTCTTCTTCTTCCTCTTTTTGCTGCTGCTATGGGCGCATATAACTCAGTGACGGAAGTTTACCTGGGTACAGGGTATTACACTGTCGGACTTGCTCGACTGTAGCGTTCTCCCTTGTTATTCTTAATCTCGGAACGTGTGTAGCCACTCTCTTAAAGAGATAATTAATGCGCAGATCAGGTTTTCGCGGCTGCTCCTCTCAATTACGCTCTCAAGCTTCTTTTTATCAGTGATGATTAAACGAGATGAGTGACGTGGGTTCAGTTCTGGTTTAGCCACCAAAGATGCTGCGCACAAAGCATGACTTAAAAGCGTCTGAGCTGAACAAAAAAAAAAGTAAAGTACGAATACATCTCCCAGTATTGGACCGTTCAGGTGTTGTGATGATCAGGTTTGAATGTTCAGTAATAATAAATTCTATGTTCAATTATACCCAACAACCATAATGATGGTTTGATGTGTATTTTCTATTAATACATAGTTATACAAAATAATAGCTTTGTTTTCAAATAAATTATAGTTTTCAATACAGCTTGTGTGTTTTTCATTTCATCAAACCAATTTCAAGTATTTGGTTAGCATGGAGCTAACAGATTATAGCTGAGAGCTGCTCATAAAAGTCGGCTGTTATACGAGTACTATTACGCAGTGGTGGATTACCTTGCGTTGGTCAGTTAATATTACGAGCTGGGGTATTATCTCTGTTTGGGGTAAAGCCCACATTTTAAAACTTGTTGTGTGTTATCAAGAAATCCCCGGGAAGAGCAACCAATACACAGAGAGAGGCTGAGAGAGAAAGGGAGAGAAAGGTAGCATTGCTGAAAACTTCAGAATTTGTGAATCTCAGAAAGATTTTGGGAATTGCCAAGCCTTGAATAACTAACATTTTAGATGCTACACCTCTTTGTATTATTGGCCATTTTCCTTATTTGGCGGGCAGTGCGAACTTGTATGTTGAAATGGCATCGCTTCTGTGTCGAGTTACAAAAAAATAGATGCTTGCCACTATAACGATGTCTTGGACTTTGCCCATGCTTCTCTGCCTGGCCAAGGAGCTTAAGGACAATCAACAACTGGACATGTAATTGGGTAGTCAACAACTGGACATGTAATTGGGTAGTGCGTTCGAGTCAAAACTTTAGCAGTTTTCCGACACCCAAATATGCAGAAAGAAATCTGATAAATCAAACTAATTCTACAAAAAAAGTTATTTTAATTATTTATTTTATTTATTCATCTATTTGATTGAAATAAATTCTCTCATTTGGTTATCATCGTTAACCCGTGTTATCTTCGATGCAGCCAAGGCTTACACAGTAAAAAACTTTATGTCACAGCCAGCAACCATGCTACCAACAGTGAAACCTTCAATTAATGTGCCACAGAATAACAGTGTAGGCATACTATCCCCACAATTACCGAATGGTGCTGCCCAAAGTCATAAAATATATATTGACAATATATTTTTTATTAACATCACAAAAAGGAGCGTTGGCGGATAAGGCGAAGCTGTAAGCTATTGTTTTGATTGAAACAATACGAAGAAATGCGTCCCTCATGTGGATTGAAAGTTAAATTGTGAGATTGCATTAACAAAAAGAAGACTTCAAATTTAAGAAGATTGTTTTTCATGTTTATAAATGTAAGTACCACTACATGGGGTTTTTAAATTAACAGCAATGATTCATTAAAAATAAATAGTAATATATATATTAAAATATATTAATGGACGATTTATAGACAATTACTACTAACTGCACCCAGCAAAATGCTTTTAAATGGTAAAAGCTCAATTATCGAAATTTTAAAAATTCAACGCAGATTTAATAAAAAATAAAAAGTGTTGGATAATATTTTCTACCTTGCCATTTGGTGGCTGTTGATGCCATAAGCGTATTTAATTAATTAATTTGAATTCAAACAATAACCAACTGCCAATTATTGTTACTAGTATTAATACCATTGTGAATTATCCATTTTCCATACTGAATTAATCAATGAATGAATTGTTATCTGATATCGATTAGCAATTAGATATAAGAAGAAGCTGTAGGAATGTATGCACGTTTAACGCGTGCAGTCAATTATATGGAGAATAAAAATAGGATCTAAATACAGCGGAACAGCTTTCTATAATTCTACGGGGATTAGTTTCACAGCTAGCTGAAGATTTGGGCCGAAACAGTGGCACAAAGAAAACATTTTCAAAGAAGATCATTACTGGTTGGGCGTAAAACCAGAAATTGATTATCAAATCTAAAAGGCAACTCCAATATCAAAACTTCTGTGATTCAAATATCCCTAAACAAAAACGAATGGTCCACATTATTTTTTTGTTCTATTCCAAACAATGGCTTAATAATTTCAAAGTGGAAGTGGATTACGAACTGGAATCTTTTTAAAGAGTTCATCGACTAAGGCAAGACAATAAGAAGGTAAATTAAATCAACTGGGTTAATTGACTGCTTAACTAAAACAAAAAGGAACGGATAAGTTATCCCCGCTTAGCTGTGTAAATACCGTTATTTTAAGGACTGACTAAAAGATGTGCATTTAGTCTATAAGCTGTGTATACTTTCCTCATCGAAAATAGATTTTCAACATAGGCATGTTCAAAGTATTATGCGTTCACTGTACTTAACGTTGAAAACAGCGAGAGAGGTTTGTCTGATTCTCTCCGATTAAGCATTTGGAATTTCCCTAATATATATACTACGTTGAAGAAGAGCATTAATAAACGATGACGAGCTCCCAACTGCTCCCAAGCCTGCACTGAACAATGATCAAAAAACGCGAGACGGTCAGTTCTTGTTCGGCTACGTAACGTGTTGGACCCGGAGCGCAGGTTCTTACAAAGTCAACCGATGTCTGTCTCTATATTGACTAATCGTGTATTGATGGTAATACTATCGCTTACACTGGCGTTGTTTTGCATGTCTGTCGAACTGGCGGCACAGGTTCTTCCACCTAACAACTGTGGCAATGTTTTTCGATACGAGCGTTGGGGATTCGGCTGGATTGGTATTGTTGTGCCGGAATATAATGGCTTAACGAGAATGGACTGGACATTGAAGTTTGCAGCGCATGGCTCTGGCTCCGTAAGTATCTATCCGAGATTAAAATGTACCTGAGCGGTCAATAATTTTTATTATTCAGTCTGGGCAAGTCAGCCAATTGGCTCTCTATCCGGACAAAACGACGGCCTATCAACATATGTTTCAGGGTGGACGCGCCGAGTGCTATGTAACTTTTCAAAACTACGGCAGTGAACTGCCCAAAATAATATATGCAGATTTAAATGGTCAAGTGCTCTGTACGGCAAATGGATGTGAGTAAAGCCTTTGATTTACTTTCCTTAAATTTTTTAAGTTCCCATTTTTTTTTTGTTCAGACGGTGCACCATCATCAACAATGACGCGATCCTTAAAGGTATCTGTATCCACCAATCAAGTAGCTGGCCCACCGTTGCCAACGGCTCCGCCAACGTATAAAGTTCGAATCACTCAGGCGCCCGTAACTGTGCGACCCCCTTCAGTACAATCAGTACCAATTGCCAATAAGTGGAAGGACAACATTTTCCTAAACAACGCTGTCAGCAGTGCTGCGAGTAGTGGCAGTAGTAGTAGTGGTGGCTTTGGTGGCAGCACTAGTAGTGGTTTCGTTAGCAGCAGTGGTACCACTAGCGGTGGCACCACCAACATATTTCATACCAGTGGTCTCTTTGACGGTGGCAGTTTCTTCAGCAGCAGCTGGCCGACCACCACCTTTGTAAGCAATGGTAACTGGCCCAGCACCACCTTCGTAAGCAGTGGTAACTGGCCCAGCACCACCTTCGGAAGCAGTGGCAGCAGGCCATCCAGTAACTCAGGCGGCACCGCCAGCAGGCCATCCAGTAACTCGGGGGGAAACGGTAGCAGCCCATCCAGCAATTTGGGAAGCAGCGGCAGCAGGCCATCCAGTAACTCTGGCGGCACCGCCAGCAGGCCATCCAGTAACTCGGGGGGCCCCCGCACTCCTGTTGTCAGCAGCAATGGTAGCAGTGGAAATACCGATATAACTGTGGCAAGCAGTGGTGGTAGTGGCGGTGCTAAGCCCATCATTACTGTAAATACGGGAACCAGGGATGAAAATCCAGCAACAGACAAATGTGGAATGGAGGGACTAGTTGGTCTGCTAATTGGTGGTGAGACCCTACCTCATGGTCGATTTCCTTGGATGGCAGCCCTTTACCATGATGATGATCCCGATCCGAAAAAGCTCAGCCTGACCTACAAATGTGTGGCTACACTTATCTCTAGTCGAACGGTTGTTACAGCGGCGCATTGCATTTGGGAAAAGCAACCGGAAGAAATGCGCGTCTATGTGGGTCGACATGATTTAGATACGCATCCAGAGACCGGTGCAACGCTAATGGAAATTCAGAGTGCATTTACACATCCAGACTTTGTTGGAAATCTAGTACCAGACTCAGACATAGGGTTGCTCATCTTCACCACACACGTCCAGTAAGTTATCTAATACCTACGAACTACGATTTTATATTACATGTTTCTGTTGCAGGGAAAGCAATTATGTTCGAGCCATATGTATGTGGACATCGAGCACCCTTCTTAGCAATGGTGGCGTTGAGGATGCGACGATTGGTGGCTGGGGAAATGATGAAAATGGCAAACCGACACGATTCCCTAAAGCGGCTGTTGTTCAAACCGTATCGCGTGAGACTTGTCTGCGTGAAATGGTTTCGGCCAAGGACTTCCTGACGCCACGCACTCTCTGTGCCGGCAACAAAAAGGCGCATGGCCCCTGTCTAGGCGATTCGGGAGCAGGTCTAATGATTCAGCGAAATGGTCGATGGATGTTGCGAGCCATCGTCTCGTTGGCTCAACGCTCCGGCGACACCTGTGATTTGACGAAGTATGTCATCTACAGTGACGTGGCCGCGCATCTTCGCTGGATTGAGAGTAAAATTGTTAGATGAGATCTGAAGACTAGTGCCATTAAGCTATCGTTTAAGTAACTTCTAAAACAATAAGCCAAATCATCTGAGCAAATTGGTTTATTTAAATGCTCATATTGTATGCATGGACTGTTGGACCTCGAAAATATATTTAATGCTATTTAAGCTGCCTGTAATTAGTTAATTGAGGGTTTTATTAAAAATAACTGGGGAAATCTGAAATGCTTCAGATATGCTTATCTACCAAATTTGACTTTTTGGAGATTTTTAAATATTGTGAAGAGTTTTATTTATGGACATGTCAAGCAAATACATAACAACTTCTAAAATATGATGGAGCAAGTTAGTGTTTTATTTTCCGATGTACGCCAGAACAAGGGCGTTCGCCGGGTGGGGGAGGGGGCATTAGGCTCCCTAATTCTTTAGACAAATTGTTCCGCAATCTGAAGTTGGCCATACATACATTTTTATGGCGCACTTTTCGCCTCCAAATGGAACTGAGGTGAATTTTGCATACCTTGTACCCGTAAGGTAAAAAGGGTATATTAGGTTTGTGCAAAGTATGTAACATACAGAAGGAAGCATCTTCGACCCCATAAAATATATATATACTGAATCAGCATGACGAAAGAAATCGATCTATAGATCCTATAGACATGTCCTTCCGTCTCTCCGTCCATCTGTCCGTCCGTCTGGATGAACGCAATGATCTCAAAAACTATAAAAGCTGGAATAACCAAAGTTGGTAACCAGATTCTCCAAAGCCAGAGAAAGGACGAGATTATTTTATTTTTTTAAATTTTCCCCCCCTTGCCCCGCTACAGAATTTTGTTAATACTGTCGACATTTTTATACCCTGTACCCGTAGGGTAAAAAGGGTATATTAGGTTTGTGCAAAGTATGTAACATACAGAAGGAAGCATCTCCGACCCCATAAGGATATATATATTCTTGATCAGCATGACGAGAGAAATCGATCTAGACATGTCCGTCCGTCTGTCCGTCCGTCCGTCTGGATGAACGCTAGGATCTCAGAAACTATAAAAGCTAGAATAACCAAAGTTGGCATCCAGATTCTCCTAGGTCTGGGTAAGGACGAGTTTATTTTTTAATTTTTCCCCCCCCCCCCCCCCCCTTCCCCCGCGACAGAATTTCGTCAACAGCGTCCACATTTCAAATGCTACCTAAACCAAACTTTGCACACAATTTATATATAATTGTCTACTGTTGTTTAAAATTTTATTCAATTCGGTCAATTCTAAGAAAAGTTATTAGCGAAACAAATTCTCGCCAGTACAACCCCCACAAACTGCAGCAACAAGTTTACTCTTCTTCTTCCTCTTTTTGCTGCTGCTATGGGCGCATATAACTCAGTGACGCAAGTTTACTTGGGTACAGGGTATTACACTGTCGGGCTTGCTCGACTGTAGCGTTCTCTCTTGTTAAACCTATATAAACCAAAATTGACACTCGTAATCTATTGCAGCGCTCTATTGTTTAAAGTTCTTCTGTTCATTATATGCATTAATTATTATTGTAATACACTCTGGCATAATTAAACGAAATTTTAATACTTTTTAATTAATACCCTGGGAGTGACAAATATATTTTCAACACGGGCATGTTCAAAGTAGTATGCGTTCACTGTACTTAACGTTGAAAACTGCGAGAGAGGTTTGTCTGATTCTCTCCGATTAAGCATTTGGAATTTCCCTAATATATATACTACGTTGAAGAAGAGCATTAATAAACGATGACGAGCTCCCAACTGCTCCCAAAGCGCAATTGAACAATTGTCAAAAATCGCGAGACGCTCAGTTCTCGTTCGGCTGCTTAACGTGTTGGACCCGGAGCGCAGATTCTTACAAAGTCAACCGATGTCTGTCTCTATATTGAGTAATCGTGTATTGATGGTAATACTATCGCTTACACTGGCGTTGCTTTGCGTGTCTGTCGAACTGGCGGCTCAGGTTCTTCCACCTAACAACTGTAGCAATGTTTTTCGATACGAGCGTTGGGGATTCGGCTGGATTGGTATTATTGTGCCGGAATATAATGGCTTAACGAGAATGGACTGGACATTGAAGTTTTCAGCGCATGGCTATGGCTCCGTAAGTATATATCCGAGATTAAAATGTAACTGAGCGGTCAATAATTTTTATTATTCAGTCTGGACAAGTCAGCCAAATGGCTCTCTATCCGAACAGAACGGCGGCCTATCAAAACATATTTCAGGGTGGACGCGCCGAATGCTATGTAACTTTTCAAAACTACGGCAGTGAACTGCCCAAAATAATATATGCACAGTTAAATGGTCAAGTGCTCTGTACGGCAATTGAATGTGAGTAATGCCGTTGGTGTAGTTTGCTACAATTTTTATGCCCTGTACCCGTAGTGTAAAAAGGGTATATTAGGTTTGTGTAAAGTATGTAACAGGCAGAAGGAAGCATCTCCGACCCCATAAAGAATATATATTTTTAATCAGGGAGACTCGACAAATCGATATAGACATGTCCGTCCGCCTGTCCGGCCGTCTGTTCGTCCGTCCGTCTGTCTAGATGATCTCATAAACTTTAAAAGCTGGAATAACCAAAGCTGTCATCCAGATTCTCCTAGGTCCGAGAAAGCACGAGTTATTTTATTTTTTGGAATTACACCCCCGCCCCCCTCCGCCACATTTCAAAATCTAAATTAACCATACTTTGCACACATAATTCAAATATAATTCATATAATCAACTTTTGTTTTAAATCTCATCTAAATCGGTTAATTCTAAGAAAAGTTATTAGCGAAACAATTTCACTCCGGTACTACGCATAGCAGCTGCAGCATCAAGTTTGCTCTTCTTCTTGTTATACTCTGTACATGAAATGTACAAGAGTATATTAGGTTTGCGGGAGCTGAAAAATGTAACAGGCAGAAGGAGGCGTGGCAGACCCCACAAAGTATATATATTCTTGATCAGCATGACGAGACGAGTCGATCTAGCCCTGTCTGTCTGTCTGTCCGTCTGTCCGTCCGTATGAACACCTGGATCTCAGAGACTATAAGAGATAGAGACACCAAATTTTGCACGAAGATGCGTTATGTGTGTATTCTATACGAGTTTGTTTTATTTTTTTGATTTTCCCCCCCACTTCCCCCCTATGGGGGTTTTCCCGATTTTCCATTCGTATAATCGCCTATATCTCGGAGACTATAAGACCTAGGAACACCAAATTTTAGTCCCAGATGCCTTATGTGAATCCGTAGAAAATGTATATTTTGGAATTCCCCTCCCTCCCCCCTCTACCCCGCAAATCGTAACTCCCGTAATTCTCCCGTAAATCCCCCATTTGGTTATTATGTGTCCGTATGCCAAATTTCATTATGATAGACCGATTTAACAAGAAGTTATAGCCATAAATATATTTGCTGATGCAGCGCTGCTGCAGCGCTGCTCAAGCGCTGCCCGCGGCTGTTGTTGTTGTTGCTGTTTGGTTGACTGCGAAAATGCTTACACAGACACGAATAGATGCGCATAGGCATACATACACTCACACATACGCAATTGCTATGTAAATGTGCAATTATAAACCCTTTACGTGAGTTCGAATACCGAGAGAGGTAAAATCGATCAAATTTTTTTTTTATTTTCTATAATTATTGTAAACATATGTACAGAGTATTTCAAAGTCGGGACACCCGACTTTAGCTTTTTTACTTGTTTTTGCTTCTGTTAGAGGCGCATATACCTCAGTGTCGGAAGCTTACTTAGGTACAGGGTATTTCACTGTCGGGCTTGTTCGACTGTAGCGTTCTCCCTTGTTCAAGTTCGCATGTTTTTTTTTTTGCTCAGACGGTGCACCTTCATTAACAATAACGCGATCCATAAAGGTATCTATCCCCACCAGAACCCCCGTTGTCAGCAGCAATGGTAGCGGTGGAAATACCGATATTACTGTAGCAAGAAGTGGTGGTAGTGGCGGTGCTAAGCCCATCATTACTGTAAATACGGGAACCAGGGATGAAAATCCAGCAACAGACAAATGTGGAATGGAGGGACTAGTTGGTCTGCTAATTGGTGGAGAGACCCTACCTCATGGTCGATTTCCTTGGATGGCAGCCCTTTACCACGATGATGATCCCGATCCGAAAAAGCTCAGCCTGACCTACAAATGTGTGGCTACACTTATCTCTAGTCGAACGGTTGTTACAGCGGCGCATTGCATTTGGGAAAAGCAACCGGAAGAAATGCGCGTCTATGTGGGCCGACATGATTTAGATACGCATCCAGAGACCGGTGCAACGCTAATGGAAATTCAGAGTGCATTTACACATCCAGACTTTGTTGGAAATCTAGTACCAGACTCAGACATAGGGTTGCTCATCTTCACCACACACGTCCAGTAAGTTATCTAATACCTACGAACTACGATTTTATAAGTATTATATGTTTCTGTTGCAGGGAAAGCAATTATGTTCGAGCCATATGCATGTGGACGTCGAGCACCCTTCTTAGCAATGGTGGGGTTGAGGATGCGACAATTGGTGGCTGGGGAAATGATGAAAATGGCAAACCGACACGATTCCCTAAAGCGGCTGTTGTTCAAACCGTATCGCGTGAGACTTGTCTGCGTGAAATGGTTTCGGCCAAGGACTTCCTGACGCCACGCACTCTCTGTGCCGGCAACAAAAAGGCGCATGGCCCCTGTCTAGGCGATTCGGGAGCAGGTCTAATGATTCAGCGAAATGGTCGATGGATGTTGCGAGCCATCGTCTCGTTGGCTCAACGCTCCGGCGACACCTGTGATTTGACGAAGTATGTCATCTACAGTGACGTGGCCTCGCATCTTCGCTGGATTGAGAGTAAAATTGTTAGATGAGATCTGAAGACTAGTGCCATTGAGCTTTCGTTTAAGTAACTTCTAAAACCACATGACATATGATCTGAGCAAATTGGTTTATTTTAATGCTCATATTGTATGCATGGACTGTTGGACCTCGAAAATATATTAAATGCTATTTAAGCTGCCTGTAATTAATTAATTGAGGGTTTTATTAAATATAATTTGATTAACCCCAATGAAATACTTCGCATATGCTAATCTGTGCAATTTTTTTCTTAGGATTATTTTAAAGAGTTTTATTTATGAACTTATCCAGCAAAAAATAAAATTAAAAGGTCCAGGCTGCGCAGGTTCTTCCACCTAAGAACTGTGACAATGTTTTTGGATACGAGCGTTAGGGATTCGGCAGGATTGGTTTTGTTGTGCCGCAATATAATGGCTTAAAGAATAAGAACTGGATATTGAAGTTTTCAGCGCATAAGTAGATATCCGAGATTAAAATGCATCGAAGCGGTCAACACTTTTTATTGTTCAGCCTGGACATGTCAGCGAAATGAGTCCTTATCCGGCCCTAAAGTCGGCCGTTTTACACATGCTACAGGGCGAACGAGCTGAGTATTACATGAGTTTTCAATACTTCGGCAATTAACTGCCAAAAATAATTTAGTCAAGTGCTCTGTACGACAAACGGATGTGAGTAACACCATCAATTCCGTCCACATTTCAAAAGTTACATTAACCAAACTTTGCACACATAATTCATATATAAGCCATTGGTTCGAGTTTCTTTGAACAAAATTATAAAAGATAATCAATCAGCTATTATACATACATTCAAAATGTCGCAAGTTCACCCACAATTTGGTATAGTTTTAACATTTTCAAAGAGTGTCGTGCTTCGGTTGAAGACACAAACCACGCTTCACAAAATTATGTTCTTATATTTAAATTGCATTATTTAGGCCAAACAGTCTACACAGATTAACCCTTTTTTTCAAAGTTTAACAACAATTTAATGTTTTTTCCTGTCACGTCATGTCGCAGTCAACTACATATGTACACTCAATGAACCGTGATTTGCGCCCCAGCTAGTTACAATCAAAAAACTATGGAAAACCTGACAGCAAACACATACATTGTGCAGCATACTACCAATACAAATGAGCGGGAGCGTTTTTCATTTTTCATAAACGAATAAGCAGGGGTTGTGGAGCAGGATGGAGAAGGGGGCATATGATGAGGCAGACATGGCAGGTGAAAGTGGAGCAACAAAAAGGCCAACAAAAGTTTTGCCAATGTCGAGCGCTGGGAAGAACGGAAGAGATGGAGGAGAAGGAAGTATTTTTCTACTTTTGGCTTTCTGCTGAAAATAGCATCAAAGGATTTATTACCGCTGTTTACGTCAGCAGCGGCAGCAGAAGCAGCGACAGGAGTAGTACCGGTGTCTGATTTCATACAAGTACGAGTATGTCTGCAACCCTGGGCTGCTGGCTGCGCGGATCCTGCCATTAAGGGCTACACAGTAGCCTGCTGAGTCACATTAATTTCGCTGCCAGACCCGTGTAAATTTGTCTTGTCCCCGTACATACTCGTATATAGAGGCTAGAGGTGGGACTACAGGAACAGCTAATGCACGCACAAAAAAATTGTAATTAATTGCAATTGTTATATATAAAGATATTCAGTTTTTGTAGTTAGGTGAAAGCACACACAATAGGTAATCCTTAAAGGATGCTCAATTTTAGTTTATTTGAATAAATAATGATATTCGGGTCTAATGAGAATATCGGCTTATACTTATATTTTAGATATATACCAAAAGACTTATAATTCTAATAAATATATAAATAAAAAGTAAATATTTGTTTGCAATTTTTATTATTAAACCAATTGTATTTATAAATTAAGAAGTACGATTTATTTGCAGACATATATTTTATATCTTCATTTGAATATTTTAACCATTTATAGAGATTTTATTGAAATTCTTTGTCTCTGTATTATATTATTTCTTTATATAAATACCTCTTTGTTTTAATATTGCTGCTGCTAAATTATTATAGTTTTCCTGTAAAAAAAAATAAACCAAAGATTGCTCGCTTAAATTATATAACGAACAACTATTAATTGCAACTATAGATTGCAAGAAGAAACCGTTTAATAAAACTGATCAATTCCATGTTTGTATATGGTTTGTATGTGGTCTAATATATAAAATGATTTTTAATTTCAATAAACCAAAAATTTTTTTCCCAGGAAATAAATAAAGGAGGTTCTCCAAATACTGATACTTTAAAATATAACTTAGCCTTAATATTTATTAAGACACTTTTTGTATACATTCTTATACATATTTTACTTTTTTGGTATATTTGGCCGACAACAGCCCGCTTTACGGCCATCTCTATTGTGCACATGAGTTTGCAGCGTGCTGGCAAACACATTGCTGTTATTTTTTGAGAATGACAAAAAAAGGATCCCAGACACACGCGCCACGACTGACCAGCAGCCACTTTGTTTGGGTCTGCACACTTCTGGAAACTGACATGTTATAAATTCTCGTTTGACTTCGCCGGCATGCCACAAACGTAATATTTTTGCTTTAAATTGCTTGGCTCTTTTATTTTATTTCACTTTGTTTTGATGGCTGCCTTTTGGCTCAAGAGCGTGCTTTGCCATTGCTGGTTGGCTGTCGTTCCTGTGCCATTCACATGCCACTGTCAACAATTTAATTAACACGCATTGTTTCGCACAATGCTCCAAATGAAGTGTCTTGCATTTGTTATCGAAGACAAATGCCAACAGGGTTTAGTTTATTGCAGTGATAAGGTTGTTTAAAGTTTTTGGCACTCGCTTTGTTCTATCGAGCTGGCTTGAAGCCTGCCTGCCTGCCTGCCTGCCTGCCCGCCACAAGCCATTAAAATCCAAATCAATTCCTATAGCCTTGCATTAGCCGACACCCTACAAAGCAAACTTACTTGACTGACAGCCGCTCTTGGCAAGCCATTGTACGTTGTTACAAAGCTCTGAGCCTTACACATTACATTTTCATGAAAATACCGGTACACATGTACAAACTTCAACTCGCACACATATCTACTTGTACAAGTACATATATACATATGCATGATAGGGGACTGTCAATGCGGCACCTGAGGCTGCAGAGTTCCCTGTTCCTGCCAAACAAAGATGCGAGCAAACAAACTGTTTGGAGCAGGCATTGGATGTGTATATTGGCGCTTGTGGGGACTTAAATGAACAGCGATGAGGGCAGCACATACAAATCCACATATACATATATATTTGGTAAAATGTGCTTATATTTACATGAAGGAAGATATATGTATGTATGAATACTAAACATACGAGTATATCAACATCATTAAACAATATTTAACAATTTCAAACAATTTGCTAGAGAATGCTGATTTTATTTCACATAATTTAAGCATTCCCTTCAATTCGATTCAATTAATTGAAAGATGATTTCTGATCCAACATTTCTGATGGCCCAGAAAGTTGTTTATCACAGAACGAGAAATTAAAAAGATTTTATCAAAGTAGATTTCAAATTTTTTCTGACATTTGCTTTATTTGAATTAACATTGTTCACAGAAAAGAATTTTAAAACTTGCATAATATAAATATACTAATTTAATCGGAATATAAACAAATTACAGTTTCTTTAACCTCAATTGACTAGCACTAACATAATTATTTCCAATTAGCATTCATTGCTTCTAAAGCTTAGCTGGGAAATCAAATATGCTTATTTTTCTGTCATTACGTCATTGATTTTGTGTTCCTAACGTCAAGAGTCATCAACCAAAAACAAAAGAAGGATTGCAACTTATCTTAACTACTTATATTAAATTCCCATAATATTTTCATGTTCTCGACCAGAAAACAGTTATAATTTTTGCTTAAGCTGAAAAAAAATAGTCAAAATTCCAAAATGGTCATAAATTATATATAATTAGCTTTAAGAATTGAATTAAATTGAGCTAAGCATGTTTTCTAATTAATAATTTGTTTCGACAAATTTTGTGTTTTAGTGATTAGTGCCATAAATTATAAGATTTAAATAAACAAATACATATGCCACAATTATAAAATGGTCTAGAGTTTTAGAGTTCGATATCTTTCTTATTTAAACCAGATCTGTGCTTTGGAAGTGATTCTATTTTTATTATAATGAACGAAAGAATCTCTTTTTAATCCGAATCGTAACTTGATTAAAATTTGAATTAATAAAATCAGTTCCTCTAAGTGCTTTTTTGTTTCGCTTTTAAAACATTTTTAAAATGAGTTTGTATTATAACTAAATACACGTTAGAAATAAGGATATTTCAAAGTGGGACGAAATCATTGAAAATGTTTAAGCTGAAACCTTTTAGAGGTAAAGGAGTTTTGGTTCTTCCAAGTACTATATGAAGCTATTTCAGGTAACAATCTGCCATAGAAAATAACAGAAATTTATGCTTCGATTGTATGTAGTAGTCATTTATAGTTCGTATAATAAATAAATAGGAAAACATTTGTTAACTAAAATAATTATTTTTTATGTATAATTAGCTGCAAATAACTATAATACTCGTATTTAATGATAAAAGCTGCATCAAATGGCGGATAAAAAGAGATGAAGCTACACATTTGTAGAGCGTTTTTACTCTAAACTAAAAAACACGACTCTACCATTAACTTCGTTCAACGGAACTGCATTAAGCCCGACACTTGAGTCCTTGAACAGTGAATTAGGGAAAGTGAAGCCACTTTTAGTGTTGTACTTTAAGCTAATGTCACTATTGCTGCTGATGCTGATGCTGATGCTGCCACTGCCACAACCGGTGTCAGTGCCAGTGCCGTTGCCGTTGCAACGTTGATGTAGATGATGGCGACGAGTTTGGGGAGCATGACACGCGCAAAACTTTGTAGCATGCTTTGCCGCTGACTTTGCACAGCATTTAGCTAACGGTTGTTGGTCTAATGCCCATAAACCACTGCCTCGTGATGCAGCAAAAGCGTTAAGGAACGTGAGCAAGAATGGCGCATAAAAATAAAGTCATTGCCAGCCAAGGCCACGTTCATGGGCTTGTATCGCCCACGCCCACTTATGTACGAGTATGTCTGGAGGCAGAGCGACCAAAACCTCGTTAATACCAATAAATCTGTTGCTAATGAAACAATTATGTGCGGCTATTAATGACGCCCCGCGCCATAAACAAGTCGAGCGCCAGAGCAATAAGCGACGTGACTGGCAAAGCAATATGCTGGTATACGCTTTGAAAAAAAAAAAAAATAGAAAAGAATGCCTTACAATTATTATTTGGATGAAAAAGCGGGCCTCGTCAAATGCAGAATAGTGCAATCGATAACAAATCATGCATTTCATTTGTCAAAGTCGCGCCTGGCCCAAGCTGGCATGAAGTTCTCACCCAACACATCAATAATATTTCCACTTAAGTATTGTCAGACAACAAATTGAAGCATCTCATGGTCGCTCATGGCCGCTTTCCCGTCGCTTGTTTCTGTGCTAAATATGCAATTTTCCGAACAACCCACCCACACAAGTATTTATAGAGCAAGAGCATAAAGAGAGAACAAGCAAAAAATAATCAATAGGCGACAGCACTAGTGTCTAAACAGCCACAGGCCGCAGGCACGCTGGCACGCTGGCAAGCGCTTGATGGACAATTATTTTCTATAAATTTGCGCTGTGACAGCAACAATATTGCATAATTTATGCATATGACAGACGCTTGTCGTGGCATCAGGTGCGCCAACAACAACAACAACAACAACAGCAACAACAAGAACCACCACAACCACAACAGTAGAGTAAAGGAGCGTACAATGTCAACGTCATCAGGGGCTTTAATATAAATAGTTATTTCTGGCACTCACCTAAGCGGATCCTTGATGTGAATGTAACGGTCCATTGATATAGCGCACAAGTTCAAAATGGATGCCGTCGAGCACATGACATCAAAGGCAACCCAAGTATCACAAAACTGTGCGCCAAAGATCCAATAACCTGCAAAACATACATATATGAACGAGCCATTAAATAAAATTTCAGTGGAGTTTGCTTGAGTGATTGTCAGGCTGATTCATTGGCTTGTTGGTTCACCGACTGACTGCATGACTGACTGACTGCCTGCCAGATTGATTGACTGCTTGTTAAAAATCCTTAATAACTAGCATGTTCTTCCGGTTGCCTTTATACTTTTAACAGGACCTGTGCATGTGTGCGGAAATTGTCGTGTTGCGGCCGGCGCCGGCCAAGGAAAATGCTTAATTTGCACAAAAATAAAAGGAAAGAATAATAATATACATATACGCAAAAAAATATGTACATATGTATGTATAAATAATTGGTTGCGATGTGGAACGCAAAAGGCGTTGCACGAATCGGGTTTTTGCCTCACTTATTTATAACATAAATTGAGTTTAAATGATTCCATAAATTCATTTCCGTTTCCTGTGCGCCACTGTGCCTCATTTAAGTGTATTGGTGCGTTTGTATTCACCGTTCGTGCAATATTGAAATTTCGTTGCCTTGCGAACAAAGAAAACTACATTTTCCATTTGTATTTCTCGACCGGAAAGTGTGTGAGAGTACCGCTTTTTATCCAATATTATACGGTGAGTGGTCTCCATTTATAATCGGAAAGTGTTTTTTTCGTATTTTTAAAACGATTTCGAAACGTTTCTAATATAATTAAATTCTAATGGAACGAAGCACGAAACTAGGTTATCAGATGACCCACTTAGGCTCTCAGAGCCAGCCTTTCGCATGGGAAGTTTTCTAGAGAGTTTTAACTCAGTTTAGCCCTAGTGGGATCAGTTCTGATAAAGGATGTTTTCCTCATCTTCCTCCAAACCTGGTCAGAGCCCAGAAGGTGCTGATAAATAAACACAACAATCAGTGTGAGATGACCAGAATAAATAATTGTTGACCTTTATTTTAAGATTCTAATATATACTATATAGTATATGAGATTCGCCGACAATTTTTTCATCGCGAAGAGAAATTGTTATTTGTGTAAATGTTTAATTAGATTTATGTTGCCAAAAAAAATGAAAAAACTCACCATACTTTTTGTAAAATTGTTTGATATTGATTCAAAAAATTCATAAAAATTATTTGTAAAAGTAAACTGCATTTTTGAAACCAACATTTTTATTTTGTTTTATAAATTGTTATTGCTACATATTAGTTCTAAATATTGTGTTCGCTTTTTTATTACAAGGAATGTTTAAAATATTTCGCCATCCATTTATGATATTTGAAATAAAATTGAACTCGTACAAAATCAATAGCCAATCCTTTGGCGAACAAATTCAATTCTCAATCCGCCAGAGAGGATATCCATTAGCTTTCCATTTTTGTTGCTGACGCCAACCCTATATTGGTCATCAATTATGCTGTTTGAGTGAGAGGGCAACACAAATCGGCAATATAAGTGCATCGTTGATAAATTCAATCTCAAATTTGATACACAATTCGATTTTGTACTGATTTATACAGACAGATATAAAATTGTAGCGCTGTACTCGTACATGTCAGTGCGAAATGTGTGATATAACGAGCTCTTTTGGCATCGTGTTATTCGATAAAGCGCACATTATGCTCATTTAGGTCTCATGCCATTCGTGTCACACAGAGACACAGGATATTGCCCTTTAGCGCGAACAGGATATGGCATATCAGGAAGAAGGTTATCCACTTTCAACGCGTGGGCATGCATACATGAATGTCCATGCGCATATTGACTTTCGTAATGTGGTTAACGCAATATAATAAGCAGCAGGTATAAGCAGCAATTTTGTCAATACATTTCCCCAGGCACCCTCTACCCCCCTCCACCAAACCCTCTTTCAGCTTAGAAGTGAGAAAGTGATTCTCATTCGAGAGTATCGCTTAGTTAACAGAATCTGCGCTTATGCGCAATGGACCCTGGGGCTCCTGCTATGGCGCGATACTGGGATTGTCAATAAAAATGACGCGGTAAAAACATTGAAAGCAAACTGTTATGGTTGTGTACTGAACGGGAATCTGTTGGAAAACTGCAACTGAGCAGGTGCAGTTGAGGAAATTTGATCAAAATTAGTTGCACTTTTGGGCAACTGACAGAGCACTTTAATGTTCGCAGAGCTACTTAACAATACTAATATTCATGTGGTAGTTTGAAGAAATGAGCAGATGAGAGTTTTTTAGGTGTACCCTTAATCAGATAATTATGGTAGTTTAGAGCTGAGAATAAGAAGGCTCTATACGGTAAACAAAACTAAAATGTTGAAATGGTCAGGCTGAGAATTCTAAGCCACTGTTTTATTTAAATAAAATTATAAATTATAAAAAATTAAAGCTGCAACTCAATCTTTATATAAATATAAAGTAAGCAAGAAAAATTGTGAAAAAATATAATCTATAACGTTACAAAGGCTTCTATAATCAACATCAAAATATGGGGAATAATACGTTTTTATTTTTTTTTATTTTAAACTATTAAGCCATTTAAAATATTGCTTTCATTGGATTTTGTCTTATTAAAATACCATGATCTCAAAAAACATAACTTAAAGGACACGGATCTAAACGTAGACCCTACAGGACCAGTATTTGAATTCAAGCATACCTGTGTTTTGAATTCTCAAACCTGCTAAATTCGTGTTAAATTTGCTTTTTATATTTTTAATTGTGGAATCTGAGTTGCTGCCTTCTAAGCACAGTCCATTCTCGTTTCTCTAAGTTCACAATTTCGTCTTTTCTAAATAATTTCTGCTTTATCTCCAAAATTTAACCGCATTGACAAAATGCAACACAATTATGAAGCATTCTTGTAAATTGAGAGTTCTGCTGCCTTTGACATTTTCAAAGACATTTTTGGTAAAAAACGAGGTTGTCGGACCTCTTGGACATGAAATGAAAAATTATGCGAATATTAGAATAGCTTTTCTTTGTTATTTACTTTAAAAGAAATATTTTCATTTTTCAGTGAATTATTTTGAAAAAGTCGAGAAATTGTCTTTGTCCTTTGTCCAACTCAACAGCTTGCTAGGAAGCACTAATCTTGCATATACATACATATATGCTGCTTATTTAGCAAAAATTAAATAGCTCTTAACATTTTATTGCTGTACATAACATATATATACTTGTATATATATATTTTACAGGTCATTTGCTTGAGCTGCAGTATTGAAAAAGGCTGCATATTACAAGTATTGCAATCCTTGCCAGCTTTGAAAACATTTAAAGGCACTCAAGCGGCGGCGTCGGTGCTTAAATCAGCAAATAATTCATATTGATGTACATACTTATATACAAGCAAACAAACTGGCAAAACATACACTAAAAAAAATACAATCCAAGACTGACTAAGCTTGAATATATGTAAATATAACATGTTTCACTTTTGTAAAAAAAAACTGAGTTCTACAATATGTAGAGGACGAAACGAATCAGTCTTAAAGCAAGTATCTTGGATGCGATCGGAAATCGAGATCAAAAGCTTACAATTAAACAATCGAATTCTGAACTCTCTTCCATTATATAGTATATAGGAGTGTCATGGATATACTTTTGTTGTTGTTGTTCTTCTGACTATAATTTCTACTTCCCCTTATAAAGTTCTGTGTTGTTAAAAAGTTTAGAGAGCAGATGATCTAAATACTATAAATTATGTGGGATGTAACTGTACGAGTACGAGTACAAGGAATGCCTTATTTGATATTATATAAATAATATTAAAACAAAAAAAAAAAAAAAAAAAAAAATGTCTCCTCTCGAAAACTCTTCTAAAATACATGCCTTCAACGTCGTGGTCATTTATCCAGCAAAATAACACATCCATCCACGCTATCTGGACAACACAATAGTATAACCCCCCCCCCCCCCAAGACGCCTCTCCCCGACGGCGACAGGTGGCAGCCCCACCAGTGGGATAAGTCGCATCTGGCCAATCACCAGGTCGACCGACAACAAATGATTATGGAAACTTATACAAGACAAATGAACCCAAAATGGCTCCACATCGATGTCGATGTTACGGATACTCTGGAGGAACACTCCCAAGGAAGCAGTCGGGTCAACAGACCTAAAGACGACAACCTGGCGGCGGATTACCTTCAGAATTTAACCCACAAACAACACCACATGGGATACAGCTACAGCCAAGACAGACAGACGAGTAGAAATTGAGAGCCAGATGGAAAAATGTTCTTATAGAAGCCCAATGCTCCCAAGCGGAGTAAAAATAAATGATTAGTTCGAAAATATAATTAGGAAAGCCGCTAAAGTTATTCAATACTTTTGAGTTTTAACTGAATTAAACTGAAGATTTATGCTAATTCTGCTTGATAAAGATAGTAGACTAAATACATTAATGATAGTAGACTAAGATAGACTGAAGATAATACATGAATATGTTAGAAATTAGACCACTATTTTGTAAGTGTACGCTGCTTTTCCCAATATCTAGTGTATGTTTATGGACACAGCTGCGATTCTGAGCTGGAGCAGCAGCTGTCATCTGTATGCCAGTGTGTGGGGTTGATGTTTGGCTAAATTTTGTACAAATAGAGGTTTGTGTGTGAGTTGTGTACGTTTATTCGCTGATTTGCCTGCGTCGCCTTTGTGGCATGAAGCATGTTAAATGTTGTTTTGTTTCATACGAGTACACACACTCACACATCGATGGAAAGTCGCTGTTATGAAAATAATTCGCCTCAACAGCTTTCAATCTAGTTGTGTGGCTGTGTCTGTGTATGTCCATGCCTCAAGGCGCCGCAGCCTCTACCTCAACCTCAGTAAGCGGCTGTTTGTCTTCAACTGCCATGGCAGCTGAAGCATTTTTATTTATTTTCACACTCCGAGGCAGCTTATTTTTCTGCCCTCCATCTTTTTTTGCTTACGTCGCAATGGTCGTGGCAGAATTCTCAACATCTTTCCACTCGCCATCTTCATCTTCAAGTGCGAAAGTCGTTTATTATTTTCACACACACACACACTCACATGCTCAGGGTTTTTGTGTTTGGTTAGGTGGAGCTCAGCTGCAGATTCTATGTATCTGTTCGTCACTGTTTTACCTTCTCTACTTCCCCACCTCCAACAGTCGGCGCCTACAGGTACCTTCAGCGCACACCACCCCAAACCCTCTCTCTCACACACACACACGCACACGCTCCTTTTGCGTTTCCTACGCAATTTTTCATGTGTATCCCCATTGCTTTTTTGCTCCCGTATTCTGTGCTCGGCATATTTTTTTTTGCGCCCTGTCATCATGTCATGCCATCGAGCCCCGCTCAGCACGCATTGATGTCAGCTGCATGTTTTTTCAACCGGAACATGTCGTTGACAGAGGCCCCGGCATCGAGTCAAATCAGCAGATCTTCAAAGTTTGTCTGTTTATTAAGCCGCAGACGCGCACGATGGCTCAAAATATAGCATAACGGTTGAAAAGAATAAGAATTGTAAGTATAAGAAGTATACAACCATTTTCGAATACACCTAATTCTGATTTTACACGGGTTTGATTTAACGCGGTTTGAAAATTAAAAATTTTATATATGGTTACACGACTATATTCCACTTAGCACGATTAACTTTGCATATGATCAATGTCATTTTTACACGACTTTTTTAGGAACAATCTACCGTGTAAAACCAGAATAAGGTGTACTTGTTAAAATTGAGTTTAATATTTAAAATACTGTTAAATCTTCTTCATCCCTTTCACTTCTACAGGAACAAGACGGTTTAACTTCATATTTATTTTTTAATGAATTTAGTTTTCAAAACTGAAGTCAAGTATGACAATTTCAAATCAAAATATATAATTTTTTAGGCGTTTTTGTAGTTTCCTGACTTGTTTCTTTCGCTTTAGATAAACTAAGCTAAATTTTTTATTATAAATTCGTTATTTCTGGAACCCTGATTCCGATCACTTATTTTCAAACCTGTAAGCTTTTCAAAGTTCATTTGTGCTCGAAATTTATATACTTATAGTCTTGAGGAGAATAATTCTTAACATAGAGACAACTTCTTAGTGATTCTTCAATTAGTCTTTATTAAATCCACACATGTATATAAATTGTTCTTCCCAAACCTCGTAGTTCCTCAGCCTGTAACTCCAAAATTTATAATTATTTAAAGAAATTTAATATAGGGATAAATGTGTAACCGCATCAGCTTGCATACTTTTCTTAACTTCATGAATCAGGAAGGTACAGAATGGAAATACTTTCATTTGGTTTCCAAAGGTTGTAGATAACTTTAAATTAAAAGTGACTATTTAAGTTAATGAGCATAACTTACCAATTGTTTGTTTTTCTTTTTATGGAATATACTATGTGAATAGTTTAAATACGATTGTTTACCTTATAATAATTATAAGTAGCTAACTCTGGTATAAATATTATATTTTTATTTCTATTTCTACTATATTTGTGTGCATTTGTTCCATCGTGCCAAGCCGTTTTCACATTTACCCGCACGCCTAATTTGCTGCTTATTTACTTAACAGAACTAAGTTTCGTTTGTGTTGCCGGCTTTGTTGTCGTTGTTGTCGTTGTTGTCGCCACCGTTGGTTGGTTGAATGCTTGTCAACTTTTAATTTGCATGCTGCGTTTTGCATTTTGCAAAATTAATAAAATCCACTTCAACAACACGAAATTTCTCATAAAAGAAACGAAATGCAAGCTGCTGGTGGTGCCTGATGTCTAATGCCTGTAAGTAGATGGCTGGTGGCTGGTGGCTGTGGCATTCAAGGCAATTTCGCCTGGTGGCATGGGTTTTCTATCTGCCTGGGCAAAACTTGTGCCTGACACAGCTAAGCTGAAAAGTTTGTCAACGTCAAGCTAAAGGGGGAAACAGCCTAGGATAGTGGCTGCAATGCCAGAGTGATATCAGCAGTAACGGTAGCAGCTGCCTACTTGTCAGCCTGACTGCCATCGTGCCACTCACTTAGCTCTGAGGTTCTGCCTCAGTGCTGCAAATGCAAACTAATGTGTGCGTCTATACATATACTTGTACATATATACTGCATATTAGCTAACAACAGCAATGGCAGCATCAGCGACAGCTACACAAAAGCGCTCTTTTTTGTACATTGCCCGTTTGGCTTAAACTTGGCTTGAAATGAAATTCTAGTTTGTTGCCTGGCTGTGAGAGCCTGAAGTATACATATATACCATATATCTTTAAATATGTATCTCCAAGCTATCTTTAGCAACCATAATAAATATTTGGCGCATATTTTTTATTTATGCTAGAAAAATGTATATTAAATTTTTCACAAATTATTACTATTCATTAACAAAATCATTTACAATTAGACATACAGTTCAGCTCTATCGACAAACTTTTCATTTATGTGTATTTTAGAAAGTTTCTCCAATAATTGCAAACAACTTATTTCTTGATTACTGCTCCTTAATATACAAGTAGCACGTTATATAAATAGCTCATCATAATTCCAACAAAGAGTTTCATGTTAAATTCAAATTCAGATTTAATTTCAATAAAATCATTTCTATAAACATATCGAGAATCAATCTACAAAGTATCTATATATTTTCATGCAATGAGCTCAAGTTGCTTCTAAGTCTTAGAGCGCCCTTGTAGCTCCAACTCTTTGCCACAATAATATTTGCTTAAAATTATCCCAGCTCTTTTAGACACATTTTTAGATCACTTATGCAGCTTCCAGCTACTTCACAAATCATTTTTCCATTGGTACAGCATTTTGGAGGGCACTGACGAATTTGCATAACTGCCTGCTTAAAGCTATAATAAAAATGCCTGCCATAAATGTCAGACAGTAAGTCAACGAGCACTTTCTGCGAATTGTGCAGTCATTTGTGTCTTCCTGCTCTCTTTTTTAATATTTTTTGTGACCAATTCACGCCTACGCTTGTGTTGGTAGCCTGCAGCACTTTACATAAATTTGCGAGCGACAAATTTCAATTGAAATTTGCATTGGCAACCCAGAGATAGAGAAGTGGAAGGAGTGAGAGAAGGAGATTCTGCTGTACTTACCCAACAAGTCGTTGACGCCCGCGAATGTCATCACTAGAGAGGCCACAAAGAGATCCGCAATCGCTAATGAGGCCAAAAATAAATTGCCAATGCGTCGCAGGCTGCGTTCCGTGTAGATGGCAATGCACACGAGAATATTGCCAGCAACGGACAGGAATATAAGCACCGATAGGAAGATGCCTGTGTTGGTAAACAGAGCGTTGGATTAAACAGAGTGTTACGTGCTGCATACTGATGCTGTTGCCAATAAGTATTACAATAAGAAAATAATGCCGAGTAGAGCAAAGCATAGCATACTTATGTGGGCAAACGAAAAAAATAAAAGACACTGAACGGACAATCAACACCGCCATTATTATCTTCTTTATCATCATCATTTTTTTTAGCAGCAGCATCAATACTTCCATTTAGATAACACCAATGATTTGCGACATGCAACATGCAATTTTGTGCGCTAATTCGAAACTAATTAGTTTTAAATTTCGGCATTTCTTTCCAATCTGTGGAGGGGAGTATGCGTGCATGCGCATATGCGGGGTAGCTTGCATTTGGGAATGAAACACATTCAACGACATTTACTTTACCAACAACTACAATTGACACAAGTGAGAGCGGCTCCGGTTCCTCACCAACTATTGTATCCATTTCGGAGGTGTTCGTCCAGGTGCTCGTCTCATTATAAAACGAAGTCAGCTGCAAGTGAAAAAAAAAAAAAACAAACAAAAGATTCGTCAGTTTAACAGCATTAGGTAATAAACATAATTTAGTGGGAAAAGTTTTTGATTTGCAGGCACCACAACTTTGGACCAAATGCTTTTATAATATTTTTTCTTTTTACGCCCAATTTATGCAGATTTATGCTAATTTTTTTCTTCAGAGGTCAGCTGGCAGCCATTAAGCAAAGTTCTTGCTTTCCGTTGGCAAAACTTTGACCTCGACCACATGTTTTAAAGAATATTTAGTCATCTTTCAAGAGCGTCGTCGTCAAAAAAAAAGAAAAAATACTGCATATTCGGTTGCATTAAATGACAGCAAAGCGGCACAACTTTTAATTAATATGAAAGGCTTCTGCTTCTAAGCAGCTGCGAAACTAATTATGTTTTAGAAATGTGTATGACATTTAAAAAAAAAATGAGTAACTAATTAAGCAACAAGCATTAGTTGGCATGTTACTTTTGTTGTTTGTAACGTCAGCTTGTGGTTTGCCCTTTGCTCTAACTTTGTTTCCATTCTTCACTTTGAATACCCTATATCCGAGGACTGAAAGGGAAAACTAAGCTGTTATTAGAGACAGAATAAAATGAGCGTATATTTAATCGAGATAAGGATACGATTCGTCAGAGCCAAGTCCCATCCGACTGTCTTATCAGATCTCTTGAGCATTATTAGCTGAGAACAGTAAGCTTGTTATGCAAACTTGTTGCTAATTTGTAATATTTTTTGCACCAAATCCATTCTATAGCTTCCATATCAACGATCGATGCCTATATCACTCGTATCTGAATAATAGCTCTTCAAATTCTAAAGTATCCTTTAATTTTGTGCATTATATGTGAGTAGTGCTGAGCAGAGGGTATTAGAGAGTTGGTCTTGTGGAACTTAGTGCTCAAAATTTGTTTTGAAATGCTTTCTTTGAACTTTGAAAATATGCTGGCGATGTTGCTTTGAATTTGAAGAGACGCCACAAAGGGTGCCAAAAACTGTGGTCACACCCACTAAGGCAGCCAGAGGACCTAACTATAAATATGTGTATAAGCAGACACATACACAGCCTTCTGCACATGCATACAGACAGCCAAATTTTTGCGGTTGTCTGTTTTGGTCCGCTACTTGTGTTTCTGGGTAAGGCATAAACTATCAATCATTTGGCATTTGCGGTTTCAAGTATTACGTCTGTCATCGCGTCTCACCAAATAGTATGTCTGTATGTTTGTCTGTCTGTCTGTGTTAAGCCTGTCAAGCTGATCAACGCTGGTGCGCACGTAACACAACTTTGCGCTAAGAAGCCTCACAGGCAATATTATTCATTATTAAAATCGACAAAATGTGTCTCCCTAATCTGTTGCTATATACAGGGTGCTACAAATAAACATCCAACTGGCAAAAATATTCTTAATATAATGCCCCTTTTTTAATTTTAGGAAATTCCAATTACAAACGCATTTTCAATGAAATTGTGCATTGAAGTGTTGGGAAAATCTTTTCCCTCAAAAACTTTATTTTCAGAACTTTCATAAACTTTCACTTGATTTATTTGCACCAAGGATAAGGAATTTATTTATTGCAAACACTAAAACTGGAAAATAAGTAATAAGGTTGTGGTGGATTTTGCTCGATGATTGGATACTCTATTTTTAGTTGGAAGATATTTTATGAATACAATACCATAAGGGCTTGATGCAAACTGAGAAGCTTTAAATTTATCTAATTTTACTAAACTTTAATAACTTTTTTATTTATATGAGCAATGCGAATGTAAATGCTTTCTTGCAGCGACTTTAAACAAACCTTATTCTTGATTAGACTTGCCGCATATTTATTGCAAAAGTTCACAAACATCATACTTAATTACATTACATATTTTATTGAACAAATATTGAAAGAATTACATACTTATATCTGATATTTTTTTAAATTTACACAAAACACTTCAAGTACTAGTTAACATTAAAACGAATTTAGCTATAAATAAATGCATTATAGAAGTTACAAACTTAATTCAAACTTTATTCAGAAAAAAGGAAATGTCACAATAGAGCTTGGAGTCATTCAAATATAGAGTATGTCTAAATTTGTACACATTGCTAAGTCATTTAAGAATGCACTCGAGTGTTAAGTTTTCGTTTGAGAGGAGAAGCCTGGCCGAGCTACGAATGAGAGTTGGCAAACTGAAATTAGTTTATCAACTTGAATGGAATTTACGAGTAGGAGGTATGTATGTACTATATGTGTACATTTTGGGATTGCCAACACCCTGTACAATAGAAAAGTGAATTTCGTGTAGACGATAAAATTAATTTGTTAAGCTTTGTGAGGGCCATCCTGCAGCCATTGTTATTGTACGTGTCTTGACAGGCATGTGCGAGCTTCTACTGGCTGAGAATTTCGCCTTGCGGTTTTACTCACCATGCGTGTCAGAGTGAGTGTGTCTGCTTTTATGTGTTTTGTGGTATTTCAGCAATGACTATGCTGTTGGAATTTTAGTCTCTTGCGCCTGCTGTACTTGCGCTTTTTACACTCGCATACAAGTATTTCACCTGGACGGATAAGTTGTCCAAAACTATGCTAGAGTGGGCTTTATTCGATTTAAAACCACAACGGTAGTCGCCAACACAACATACTTTATAGTCGGAGACGCATGGACACGAAAGTTTTTCGATTAATAACCATAAATCTGAAAAGCTGCTTTATAGTGAGAGCAAAGCGGCAAAAGAATAGCGATGCCAGCCGCTTGAGCTGCGATCAAAGGCGAGCAATGCGAGCTGTCTGTTAATCGCTGCATGACCGCTGCGCACAGCTGGTGGTTTCCCCCCACAAGACCACTCCAATAAAAACGGAAGCAAAAACAAACACAATCCTTTACAGCAAGCTGGCACATGTAAAATATGTACGGCGTTTAAGTTCTTCCCGCTGCTTTTACATTCATCTTTTTTAATGCTGCACACGAGGCGTATGTGCAACATTAATTTACCACAAATATGTAAATGCAAGCGTAAGGGGAAAAACGCAAATGAAAATTGTAAAAAACAGACCAAAAACCGCTGACACATACAATTAATTAAATTAAAAAATAAAACTGCCATCACTGCATGCATTTTTTAAAGCTTTATCAGAGTTATGAGCAGAACTCTTCCTCCTTTCAAGCCTCACCTGCTTCCAGGTATATTCATTTCATGTGATGAGCTCCGCACTGAACTGCTGCCCGTGGCTTTCATTTATTTACTTTTTTGCTCTGTTTTAAAGCGGCTTATTAATTTACAGTTGCTAATTGTTTGAAAGTGAAACTTTAATTAAGGCAGTGCCAGTGTCAGGTGCCGCAAATTGAAAGGAGGTGGCATAAATTTCCTGCTATGTAATTCAAATATGAAATGTATACCTTGTGCACAGCGCATTGCGCTAAAATAAGGCATTCATACAAGTATTCAAATGGAAATGTGGTGTTCAAAAGCGCTCATTAAAATTTAAATTGTAATTGATACATAGGTGTCCTTATATTGCTTACACTTTATTATCGATGCGAAATAATAGGCTTGTAATTGCTTAATTGTCGGAAAAGTAGCTTTTCTGTGAGCACAAATGAATAGAGAATTATAAATGTAGATTGAATTGCAGCTTATTAAATTATTTGCAACTACTTTAGATACCAATTTGAAATCTTTGTAAATTTAATATTACCATTATTGATAATAATTGTTAATTACTTCTTTTGTGAACACATATACCAAGGATAATGGATATCAGCTCTTAAATACTCTGACATGTTTATTATATTACTTTATTTCTTGAATTTATTTTGCAACAGACGAACGGTAAATAACACAAAGAAGGTTAAACAGAAGAAAGAATAGGAGAAAAAAATTACTGGAGTGGTGGAACGGCAGCTACTTAAGATGTAATTAAATAAATAAGTAATTCATTTAAAGAAAGCTTGACTTTAAAATATTTTAATTTATTTGCTTATAATTTTTGTTGTCTCTGAGAGCTTAAGTCGCGATATCGCGTTCTTTCGAAAAAACTACATGGAAAATCAATTCGTTTCATTTTGTCCAGGGTTTTATTTGTGGGTGCGAAATGGCAAATGGCTTATTATAATATATTGTTTCCATTAAGCTGCTTACCAGCTACTTAATTTAGGCTCAAAGGCATGTTAAGTAATATCAAAATATGTTGCATGCATATACAGGTTAACAGCATTAATATTGTATAGCTTTGTATGCAAATATTTCATTGAATTAAAGCTGAAAGCAAAAGCCAATAAACACATTAAGTAGCCGAAAGCAAACTGTCGGACGTAGGGTGCAGAATTCCATTTTATTGCCAGCATTTTGCTAATGGTCGAGCAGAACAATAAATAAAGTTTAATACTTTCATAATAAAGTTAATTTATTGTCTCTGCTTGCCAGTTGCAGGCCGGCAATGTCGTTGTGGCCATAAGCTCGCAACAAACACAATTAAAGACACTTAAGATTATAAAAATTACATTAAATGCGCCGTGTCAAGGGCCTGATGTAAAATATTCATTAAACTCGACTATTTCACAGATTTCCTGCTGATGTCAGCATTGTGGTGTCATCATTAAAATGCCGTTAAAACAGCAGCAACAGCAGTAACACGAACAGCAACAACAACAATACTGTCTTTTACAATCCCACCATCAATATAGACTTTTCGAGAGCATTTTTAAACAATGACGGAAAAAACTCAATATATATAATTCAACTTCAATGGCATAGATAAATAATTTGCCTTAAGTTTGTCAAATGAATTATTAAATTGGCACAGTGTTTCCAGCTTCTTCTTCTACTTCAAGGAGCCGTCTGCTGATGGCAATAAAAGGAACTTAGGCGCTTACACGCAGCAACGCGCAGGAATAATAAAAAAAAAAAAAACACGAACGGAAGCAAAGTGGAAATAAAGAAGCGCGCAGAACAGAGAGGCATGAAAAGAACGTAAGCAGCTTGAAATTGTAACAA